CTAACTCTCACACTAGGGGGTCCTCCGTGCACACAGGCTTACCTGTGCCCCATTGCTATATCTCGTACCTGATCCGTGGAGAGTAGGACTTGATGAATCCAACGTATGTAGTTTTCGGACCAAGTGAAATAGTTACGACAAAGATGTGAACTAACCTGCCATATTGAGATCACCTTTTTTGAAAGATTCGTAGAGCTGACTTGATTACAGTAAGCTCATCCCTGGAACGAGTGCAATGGCATAAGCATCTGTGCATCTAACATTGGCTGACACAGTAGAGGTGAGGTTGTACATGGCCCTATAGAATGACTGCCTTAGCGCACGTCTTTGTCGCCAGTTTATACGGTGCAGGATCGATGTGAGCGAAAACGTTTTAATGAACAATCTCATTGCATTACCGGTACTATAATAGAATGAGACAATCGTAATGTTAGTAGAACATGGTGTTCAACGTTGCTGTTGTAAAGATGGTTCTAACATTACGGAACTGAGTTTCTGAGGTCATAGCAAGAGCGTTTTGCTTTCATGCAAGGCGCAGCAGAAGGTTTACTGATCGCCAACATCGCAATGAATAATGGGTGGGCACTGAAATCTGCACATGTGAACATGTCGATCAAGAAACGATGTCAAAATTTGAATGCCAACGAGCATTTCCCCGGTACGGTGGTAAAACTGACTTCGATAAACAACCCTGAGCTTCTGGCGGGAACAGCCATATCACAGGGCAGGAATGAGAGCTGATCCCTACTGTTTTGGGCGTAACGCGCGAGTACTGTCGGCGGCGGCATCGAGTGTCAGCATTGTGAGGATGATGGCTGTTGGATTGGGTGTCAGTCGCAGGGTGTCCACGTCTTCACTGCGGGGGGTCAGCTGATGAAGTTTATGGAGGGATTTCGGGGCTGTTACATATCTCGCTGCATCCTGGACGTAAGTTTGTCGCACGTTTCGCACGATGCTGGACGGAGAGGTGAGGCAAGCGACTGAGGCGCATAACATGCTGTAGGATTTGTGGCTGTGTTGATACAGGGCGCCCTGTCTCAGTGTTACAGTGAAGTTGCGATGGATATGGTAGGCATGGCCTTGTGATGTCCAAAGTTTGTACCAGCCCTCTTGTGAACCTCTGAATCTCAGAGCACTTCAACTCACTATGACACCCTCATGCTTGACTCATCTGAGGGCAGACTCTTCAGTCTTGGTACTGAAGGAGGGCGCAGTTCATATGACCATAGAATTAGCGCTGCGTGAACTCGTATTCGGCATGGGGTTAGGCCGTGCTAAGCTCTACTAGCTAGCTAAGCGAGGTTAACTAAACATTATACTGTAAGATTTTGCAACGCGTTCTAAACCTGTTCTAAACACATTCTATACTAGTAACACTATAAGCTGCTACTGCTATACCTGTTACTAACGTATCCTTCTTATCCTATATAAGCAGATTAAAACGTATTTAGAACGTGTTCTTAATAGGTTATAGAAGCACTATTAATAGTACCTCGCCCTTGGCCGCGTCCTAGATAATATTAGGGCATAGCCTATGGTTAGCCCTAATAGGGTAGTTAAGATAGAGAGTAGAGAGCGCTACTACTATGCTAAGATTAACAACAAGGGCACCTTGTGCAGAGTAAGAATAGGTTCTAAACGTGTTCTAAACAGGTTCTAATATTCTTAGGCTATTCTAGGTACTAGGGGCACTCTATATACCTATGCTAAAAAAGATTATAGGCTTAATATAGCCTACTATAAGGTTAGTAGGGTTAAGAAGACTAGCTAGCCCTCTATAATAGAGGTCTGCAAGGCAAAGAGTAAATATATTATTAACCTATTCTTAACTTATTATACTAATATATATAGACTTCTATATAAAGGTTATATATAATTACTAGAACGCTCCTTGCTATAAGTTATTTAGAATATATTTAAAATTTATTACTAACGTGTTTTATAGAAGTTCTCTAAGCCTAGCTAGCAGCTACTATAGGCCCCCCTACAAATACTAATACCCTCCTAAATATAATTTAGAAGAAGACTTATAGTAGCCGCAATAGTAATAAGGTATAGCCTGCAAGAACCTGTTAAAAACACGTTACTAACTTATTACAGCTTAACTTTATTGCTATATCTACCCTACTAAGGATTTAAGGTTATTAGGTTCCTTATACTATCTACACTTGCGATTATCCTAGCTATAGTAAGTTGTTTACAATATATTGTTAACCTATTCCTAACGTGTTTTAAGACTATTACTTTAATGCTAGTGTAGACCTTGCTAATTCCTGCTAGAATGCCGCCTAGTTCCACTTGTGGTATGCTTTTATAGAGCCTAGGGAGGATAGAGAAGATACTAGAGAGGGGGAGGGAGATAATAATAGTAATAAGTAGGAACACGTTAAGAACGTGTTAAGAATAGGTTCTAATAAACAATGTATAATAGCATATAACCTAAAGGGGTAGTAGTAATTGCTAAAATAAACTCTCTACTCTTCTCTTTTTTTTTCTATCTACTAAAAGTAAAGTACTATTTACTTTTATAGGGTCCTTTAATAGTATATAACTTTTTCTTTTAACTTTTATAGGTATTATAAAGCTCTAGTAGTCCCTTAGATTAAAGAAGAATCTAGTATTTATAGGTGTCTAGCTATAACGTATTGTTAATATGTTCTAAACGTGTTTTAAGAGACTAGACTTATATCTCCTTTTTGCTGCTTTCGCTAAATATTATTCACAGTGTAAAGGGGAGCAACTATTTGCTCCTCTTCTTTACTCTCTGCTTCCTCTTTAGCCTCTACTCTAGCTACCACTTCTTATTGTAGACTAGCTATCTTAGAGGGTTCTTAAACCTTAGAGGAGGCACTTAGTGCAGTCTGCTCTACTAGCAGAGAACGTATTATTAACGTGTTTAGAACATGTTCTTAAGTATTTACTATTAAGCTCCTATAGAAGATCCTTGCTTCTATAGTGCCTTATATTGTGGTTCTGCTACAGTTTACTAGGGCTATTTAAACCTTAGGATAATACCTCTTAAGGTAGTAGATAAGATTACCTCTATTAGAGAAGTAACACTAAAATAGTTATTAACATGTTGTAAACGTGTTCTAACTCGCATGTATATATACTCTACAAAGTTCCTGTACCCCTAATCTAGCCTAAATAGCCTAGTAGAAAAGCTTGCCAGGAAATACTATACACCTATTATTTAGGTAGGATGTTACAGGAGAGAATACCCTAGTATTAGATAGAAGTAACTTAAGCTTAATATATCACTAGTATAAATCCTACTTAGTGTTAGAACAAGTTCACAACGTGTTCCTAACGCGTTCTATTACATACTAACTTTAAAAGATCTTTATAGACTATATTAACTAGTTATATCTAATAATATTAGGAAAGATAGATAGTAAAATAGTATTAAACTCTTAAATATAAAAAGTTCTTGTAGAGTGTAAGAAGAAAGAAGAAGAAAGAGAAGAAGAAAGAATATATATTTATCCGCTTATATGTGCTTATATAATAGACTAGAATATATTAAGAACTAGTTAGGAACTAGTTACTATATTTATAGACTAACCCTACCTTATATAAAAAGTAGCTATCTCTTTCTTAAGTTTAAACTGTGCCTTTTGCAATTTAAACAGTGCCTTTTTCTATGCAAGTTCTTCCTTATCTACCTCTAGCTTTTCTTTTCTCTCCTTTAGAGCCTAATTACTAAGAAGAGCCTTTTATTGCAAAGTTTATAGTTACAGACTAATAATAAGTTAGGAACGTGTTATAAACGTGTTTTGCAAAGCATACCTTTAGGTTACTATTAGTAGAGGAGAAGAGCCTAGTAGTAGAGAAGATAGAAAAGGGGCTAGTGAACTTCTTTCTAATACCGCTCTACTACTTGCCCTCTAGCTTTAGGCTTTTAAGCGTGCTCTTTTATTTCTTATTAGGACTAAGATATATCTAGTTAAGTTAGATATAGCAAGACTTGCTTTATTATTATCTAGAGTGTTGTTATTATTATAGGACGCGTTCTAAACACGTTCTAAACACGTTTTAATTAGCAAATATGCATAACACTAGCGTAAGACTTACTTTCTCCCCTCTAAAGCTTTTTAAGGTACCTTTGCTTAAGCCTATTAGGAGTTCTATAGTTATAGCGTATTCTAAACTTACTCTAGGCTTTAAACTCTTTTATATCCTGTAGATCTATCTAGTATGCACTACATGATGTTACTTATACAATTCTAATAGGTTAAGAACAGGTTGTAAACTTACTTTTAAGTAGCCTTAAGAATACTTACATGCTTACTAGTTTTATATCCTTTCTAGCCTGCTTGCTTAGCTACATTTAAATAAGATTCTAGTTTTTCCTATACCTCTTTTAACATTTTACTATAGCATTGCACAATCCTAGTAGCAATTACTAGGTTTTTCTTATAGATTGCCTAGTTTTAGGCATCTTTAGAGGGTTCGTGTTCTAATTATGTAAGAATAAGTTAGGAACACGTTTGGAATAGGTTTAGAATGTATTTACTTACGTAAGAGGAGGTTAGCAAGCTAAAAGTATTCCTCTACTATTAATGCCTGTAGTAATTCACTTAGACGTAAAGAGGTAGTATTATCTAGCTCTCTTTTACATGCTTTATGAATACTTCTTTATAGATATACTTAACAAAATCTTATGCAAGATTGAAGTTACTAGCGCTAGTTACGCTTGCAGGGCTCAATTAACTAGAGATAGCGCGTTAGTCATAGAAACAAGTTCGCAACACGATACAAACACTCTACAGTACGCCATAAAACACATCTATTATTTAACTAGTGCATATGTCAACAATAGTCCTATAGAATCCCTATAAGTAAATATACCTCTATAACACTTATCTTTTTATAAGTGCTTTACACTTCTAAAAGAAGTTAGTAATAGCAACTTAATACATCTTAGTTGTGTCCTTATCTATAATAATTTAGCTAAGTGTAATAACTATAATGTGTTAGAAACGTGTTATAAACCTGTTCTTAATGCGTACGCTTCTTTTCCTACAGGTAGAAGATTACTATTAGAATCTCTACCTATACCCTATACAACCTCTTATATAACATATCTATCTAGAACATGTCTTAATCTAATAGAATTAATGCCTGCTCTTTAAAAAGGCAAATAATTAAGTTACCTAAGCTTAATATAAAGATTTGCTATATATACGCCTATAGTAACGTGTTAACAACGTGTTCTAAACCTGTTCTCTTACACTACGTATAGTTTTAGGATCCTAATGCTTTGTCCTCTACTTATAGTGTACTCCTCTAAGGCTACTCTTAAATAGGAACTATAGAAGCTTTTCACGCTTTATAATACGCGAGATTTTATCTTTATTTGCAAAGCTAATATACATTTCTTTAATAGAATAGAAACCTTTAAGTTAGAGATAGGTTTAGAGCTAGGTTAAGTTTAGGAACTAGGCTATAACAAGTTAGGAACATGTTTATAACAGGTTGTAAACAACTTACATTATATAAGCTATAGAGTAAGCATAGGCTGTAACACCTTTACTACTTCCTTAATATTACTATTAGATAGTGTTAAGGGAGGAGGAGGTATATGTGTATGTATACTAAAAGAAATAATAGCAAAAAAAGGTATTGCTACTATATCTATTAGTATAATTACTTAGAAGGTAACTTTATATAGGATTTTAAACAGAGATCCTTGCCCTTATAGATAATTAACGCCTAGAATATGTTAGGAACGTGTTAGGAATAGGTTGCAATATACCTACCACACTTCTTTATCTAGCTTAACTGTGGCTTAACTATAGAATATAAAGCAGGACTACTAGAAAGATTTAATATCTCCCTAGTTAGAAGACCTTGTAGATATATAGAGTCTACCTCTAGTAGTACCTAACTAAAATAATGTTTTTTCCTAGTAGCAGATATTAGGCTATAGTTCTAATAGCTAATATATAGTTAAGCCTATTCTACAATTTGCTAACTTGTTATTAACACGTTTTAAATATGTTTAAGTTTTGCTTCCTACCTAATTTACTATAGTCCTTATTATAGGATAACAAGACACCTAGTAGTCCTTATAAATCCTTAAAGAGAAGCGCTTAATAAGGCTATAATAATAGCTTCTTGTTTGTAGTTCTCTTTATAGAATTTTCTTAGGTACTACACTTTTTAAGGTTTAGATCTGATTATACAATGCGTTATTAACAACGTAATAAGAACACGTTTATAACATGTTCTTAAGATACTTACACACTTTTACCCTAGAGTATTAGTATTTATACTAGCTTGCTAGCTAGCTATTAAAGAATAGTAAAGTTATAGGCCTGTTAAGATAGACAGACTAGCAGGAGTATTATACCTGCTAGAATTAGAACAATTTAAGAACGTGTTCTTAACGTGTTACCTATATAGCCTACACAAGCACCTCTTCTCTTATTAGGTAAGAGCTATCTTTATATTGCTAAACTAGTATTATATACCTATACCCTTAGCTATATAATTAAGGGTATGCTAGGAGAATAGCTGCATGCTTAATAATTGCTAGTATAAGTAGTGGTCCTTAACTATTACTACAAGTAAGGTATACATTGTGCCCCTATAACGTGTTACTAACCTGTTCTAAACTTGTTCTATTTACTTTCACTTACTTCCTTAACGCTACTACTACTATCCTCCTCTAGCACTTTATATAGTTGCCTAAATTCATCTCTAATATTACTATCTAGTTTAGATACGTTGTCTAGTACTGCTATACTAAACTCTAGTATAGTATTTAGGAACGCCTGTATATTATTAAGAATAGGTTTAGAACATGTTTAAAAAAGATAGTAATAAAAACTACGTTTACTTGCTTAAATTACCCTAATTTATACTTGACCATAGGCTAGTTCATATAACCATGAAAATTTGCCGCTGTGACGTGGACTTGAACCTACAGGGATATTCTAACCACTCGGAGTAAAGCCCAAGTCGCCCGACGCTAAACCCATGGTCATATGACATGCCACCACGTACTGAAGACTGGGATTTCAAGCAAGTCAGGTCAGGCATAAGCAGCTGACGCTATCAATGAAGCGTCCGTACGTAATTCAACATGGTAGTTTCGGATAATCTTGTGCAAAACTGCTGATATGGCGACCGAAGAGCACGACTTGGACTTGATGCTCGCCACCAAGTGATTCTGACTCTTGTCTCGAGATAATATCTCAACCTTGCCAAGGAACAACGCGCAGGGACACCCTGCTATGTACAACATGTGTGCGTTACATGTATGAGGTGATTGCCATACATAGTACCTAGCAGTTATCAGATACTCAGAATGAATTGAGTGAAAGAGAACTTGTACTGCAATGGGGCGAAGTCAAACTGATTCCAGTCCATCGAAGCGAGTGACATCTTTGATTTGGCAGATTGTCTAAGAAGCCAACGATAAGATGGCCGGGAACTTTATTCGTGAACCACTTAGTGCTTTCCAAGAACAGCACACGCCAGCCGCATTGCGGTTGAGATGAAAAGGGAGCCGCTTATCGACCCACATGCTAATGATCTCGAATACGACTGGGATACGACTTTCTTACACTGTAAAACGACACAAAACTCGTACTTGATTGTCCATCACCGGTGGGTGGGCATATAGCGGAGTAAGGATCGTGACGCAGGACTCTGATAGTAAGAATGGTGAATGCACTTGATGAAAATCCGGGAGATCCCATAGCCCATTGAAGCGGCTCACGAAACCGCAGAAGGTCCGAAGGCTGTGCCGCTCCAAATTTCCCACGAGAAGTTTAACATGGTGCCAAATCCCAAATCGCAGCGATTTCCCGGAGCGATTCCATGTACGTGTGTTTCATCCAGAGTGCAAAGCAGATCAGAGTACAAGTTGTTTTCTGGGACGGCAGCACCTCATCGGTGACTCGAGATAGTGACGCATTAAAGTTTGGTTATTATGAGCCGGCGACATGGTCTTCGTCTCGTGTCGCTACGAAATCTAACTTTTCGAATAAAGACGACGGGCTTACGGTGCGAAGGCGGGTGGCTTGCGCTGGGCGTGAGCAGCGGAGCGCAGATGAACGCTCCAATTTGTCGCAACTATCTTCTGGTAAAGCTTGTCGGATGAAAATTACGATGTACTGTACATCCACATGTACTGTGACACAATGCAGGGCCTGATAAAGTTGTGATTTGAGTGGGCTAATGCTGATCACCAAACCTTGCGCATGGTTGATAACTGGTAACAATAAACGCGTACCTCCGCAAGACTCGGGATAGCGCGCGTTGACGCTGCAATAAATGGGTTTGTTTACAATTGGGCCAGGCTTGCATCATATTGTCAACCATCGGCCATAAGTCCAGTCCCACAGATGGACTCCGGTACCGTGAATGCTGGTTGAACCGCCAAGTGCAAGTCAGATTATTCGGAGCACGACTAGGATCTGACATCAGCGTGCCGCATCAGATTGTATTGATGTGCAGGGTCCTGGACCGTTGGGCCTATGACACGGTATGATAACATGCGGCCACCAGCAAATCGAATTGAACGCGCAAGCTGCCCAAATGATCATCCTTTGATGATGATGATGGTGGTGGTGGTGGTGGTGGTGATGATGATGATGATCAGCAAGCCGGAATAATACATTCATTTCATCTCCTGCTCCTTGGAGTCTCTTGAAATGCAGTCTGCAGTCGTGGATCCGGTGGATACTAGCTGAACGCACCCACGCTCACGGTGCCATGGACAAACACATGTGAAGTTGGGTTTCTAGAATTCGAGATTCCAGAGTGACTGGCTGCAGAGGAACATGGATGCCTGACGATGCCATGACAATCGGGCCGACTAGGGCGGTGTGAGCAGGTTTCGCCATTCTGCACATGGAACGAAACGCTACAAGACACACATAGACAATCACGGGCTGTAGATCCAACAGGACGCATAATTCTCCGGGACTTGTCTGTGGTTGGAGACCAGAAGTGCCTTGTTGGAACCTGCAAGGGAGTCACTCAAACCCAACAACGCAACACAAACAAGGCTGTTGTGCTGTCATTTGCTGATCAGAGATCGTCAAGATTGCACCAGGGAGTCTGGAATTGTCTCTGACGAGAGCCTTGTACGCCTCGGACGATCGTCGAGACGGAGCAGCGCCACGGATTTCGTCTCCTGTTGCCTTGCACCCGTCAGCGCCACGTAGCAAAAAATTTGCCGGTCATCTGGTCCCAGCAAGAAAACCTGTGGTGAGGTGGGCACGCAGAGCGACTGGTAGAGATGAAGTCTGGTGGCAGTGGTACTAGAGTAGGCAGTAAGGTACTTGCTGTCATTACAACACAATAGCAGCGCTGCTTAGAAGAGAATTTATTTGAGGCTGCTGGGTTGCTGCTGGGGGCTCAATCGTGCACTAGACCAAAACAGACTAGCGGATCGCTTGGCCGCACACTGTCGGTGAAGACGCAACACACACAACCACGCACACACGCACCCACTTTCTCTCTCACACACACACACTCTCTCTCTCTCCCCCCAAGTCTCCAGTGACTCCACCTGCAAAAGCTCGCGCTTTGTGGAGTGCACTCAACGCTCCAGACTTCCTTGTAAATACAGGCGCACGACCGTACCTAAATCGGACGCCACCGTCTGCCAGCGCAACCGCACGCAATGCAGACTGCGGTCCCCAGAACAGAATTAGGCATCAATTCACACAGGTCGTCGAGTAATGCCGTGTCTGACTGACGAAGAAAGTAATAGGCAGACAGTGGATAAGCCCAAAGTAGATTAACTCACGAGAACCATGTAGCGGCGCCTCGGTGAGGTACCGGTACATTGTATGCCCATGTACAATTAGAGTATAATCCTATCACAATAGCGGCTCAGCAGTCACCCACAGCCATGCATCTGGGGACGGCTTCTTCGTATCGAAATTCCATGGATTGTTCGCCAGGGACGCGACAAAGGGTGCCAATTTCGCTCCCGAGAAGACGTGATCTTCGGCCTCACAGACTCCCGCTTGCAACTTTAGCCCACGGGAAGCCACACTTGGCATGCACGGATGACGCCGGGACGCAGAAAAAAAAGAAGAGAAAGCTGCAGGATCGTCAACGGCAGTGTCGCTTGCGTTAGGGTTACCAAAGTAGGTATCGCAATTTGGTCCTTTCATCTAGTGTCGAGTCATCCACGAACTGGAAAGGCCAGCCACTGTCAATCCAGACAACGGGACGCGAGGAGATGAAGTTCTTCATTTACAAGCCAAAGAAAAATCGATCTTGCTGAAAACGGTTGTATGTACCATACTGATGGTCAACTCCTTACCCTGCAGAAGGACGGCTTTGGAATAGTCGCGGCGCATCTATCATGGCGCTATTGACCTGAAGACGTATATTCGACCCATTATATCACACGCAATGTCTGTAAACAACCACCACTTGGACAACGTGGATGGTAAAAAACGTGGTGGCATGTCATATGACCATGGGTTTAGCGTCGGGCGACTTGGGCTTTACTCCAAGTGGTTAGAATATCCCTGTAGGTTCAAGTCCACGTCACAGCGGCAAATTTTTATAGTTATATAAACTAGCCTATAGTTAAGTATAAATTAGGGTAATTTAAGCAAGTAAACGCAGTTTTTATTACTATCTTTTTTAAACATATTCTAAACCTATTCTTAATAATATATAGGTGTTCCTAAATACTATACTAGAGTTTAGTATAGTAGTACTAGATAATGTATCTAAACTAGATAGTAATATTAGAGATAAATTTAGGCAACTATATAAAGTGCTAGAGAAGGATAGTAGTAGTAGTATTAAGGAAGTAAGTAAAAGTAAATAGAACAAGTTTAGAATAGGTTAGTAATACGTTATAGGGGTATAATATATACCTTACTTATAGTAATAGTTAAGGACTACTACTTATACTAGTAATTATTAAGTATATAGCTATTCTCCTAGTATACCCTTAATTATATAGCTAAGGGTATAGGTATATAATACTAGTTTAGCAATATAAAGATAGCTCTTACCTAATAAGAGAAGAGGTGCTTATATAGGCTACACAGGTAATATATTAAGAACACGTTCTTAAATTGTTCTAATTCTAGTAGGTATAATACTCCCGCTAGTCTATCTATCTTAATAGGCCTACAACTTTACTATTCTTTAATAGCTAGCTAGCAAGCTAGTATAAATACTAATACTCTAGGGTAAAAGTGTATAAGTATCTTAAGAATATATTATAAATATATTCTTATTATATTATTAATAACGCATTATATAATTAGATCTAAACCTTAAAAAGTGTAGTACTTAAGAAAATTCTATAAAGAGAACTATAAATAAGAAGCTATTATTATAGCCTTATTAAGCGCTTCTCTTTAAGGATTTATAAGGACTACTAGGTGTCTTATTATCCTATAATAAGGACTATAGTAAATTAGGTAGGGAGCAAAACTTAAATATATTTAAAACGTGTTAATAACAAGTTAGTAAATTATAGAATAGGCTTAACTATATATTAGCTATTAGAACTATAGCCTAATATCTACTACTAGGAAAAAATATTATTTTAGTTAGGTACTACTAGAGGTAGACTCTACATATCTATAAGGTCTTCTAACTAGGGAGATATTAAATCTTTCTAGTAGTCCTGCTTTATATTCTATAGTTAAGCTATAGTTAAGCTAGATAAAGAAGTGTAGTAGGTATATTATAACCTATTCCTAACACGTTCCTAATATATTCTAGGCGTTAATTATCTATAAGGGCAAGGATCTCTATTTAAAATCCTATATAAAGTTACCTTCTAAGTAATTATACTAATAGATATAGTAGTAATACTTTTTTTTGCTATTATTTCTTTTAGTATATATATATATATACCTCCTCCTCCCTTAACACTATCTAATAGTAATATTAAGGAAGTAGTAAAGGTGTTGTAGCCTATGCTTATTCTACAGCTTATATAATATAAGTTATTTATAACCTATTATAAATGTGTTCCTAACTTGTTATAGCCTAGTTCCTAAACTTAACCTAGCTCTAAACCTATCTCTAACTTAAAGGTTTCTATTCTATTAAAGAAATATATATTAGCTTTACAAATAAAGATAAAATCTCGCGTATTATAAAGCGTGAAAAGCTTCTATAGTTCCTATTTAAGAGTAGCCTTAGAGGAGTACACTATAAGTAGAGGATAAAGTATTAGGATCCTAAAACTATATATAGTATAAGAGAACAGGTTTAGAATATATTGCTAACACGTTACTATAGGCGTATATATAGTAAATCTTTATATTAAGCTTAGGTAACTTAATTATTTACCTTTTTAAAGAGTAGGTATTAATTCTATTAGATTAAGACATATTCTAGATAGATATATTATATAAGAGGTTATATAGGGTATAGGCAGAGATTCTAATAGTAATCTTCTACCTGTAGGAAAAGAAGCGTACGCATTAAGAACAGGTTTATAACATGTTTCTAACACGTTATAGTTATTATACTTAGCTAAATTATTATAGATAAGGATATAACTAAGATATATTAAGTTACTATTACTAACTTCTTTTAGAAGTGTAAAGCACTTATAAAAAGATAAGTATTATAGAGGCATATTTACTTATAGGGATTCTATAGGACTACTATTAATATATATAATAAGCAGATAATAGGCAAGTTTTATGGCGCACTGTAATATGTTTGTAACGTGTTTCTAACTTGTTTCTAGGACTTAGGCGCTATCTCTAGTTAATTAATCCCTATAAGCGTAACTAGCGCTAGTAACTTTAATCTTGCATAAGATTTTATTAAGTATATCTATAAAGAAGTATTTATAAAGCATGTAAAAGAGAGCTAGATAATACTACCTCTTTATATCTAAGTGAATTACTATAGGTATTAATAGTAGAGGAATACTTTTAGCTTGCTAACCTCCTCTTATATAAGTAAATATATTCTAAACCTATTCTAAACGTGTTCTTAACTTATTCTTATATAATTAGAATATAAACCCTCTAAAGATACCTAAAACTAGGTAATCTATAAGAAAAACCTAGTAATTACTACTAGGATTATATAATACTATAGTAAAATATTAAAAAAGGTATAGGAAAAACTAGAATCTTATTTAAATATAGCTAAGCAAGCAGGCTAGAAAGGATATAAAACTAGTAAGTATATAAGTATTCTTAAGGCTACTTAGAAGTAAGTTTATAACCTATTCTTAACCTATTAGAATTATATAAGTAATATTATATAGTGTACACTAGATAGATCTATAGGATATAAAAGAGTTTAAAGCCTAGAGTAAGTTTAGAATACGCTATAACTATAGAACTCCTAATAGGCTTAAGCAAAGGTACCTTAAAAAGCTTTAGAGGGGAGAAAGTAAGTCTTACGCTAGTGTTATATATATTTACTAATTAAAATATATTTAGAACGTGTTTAGAACGCGTCCTATTATAATAATAACACTCTAGATAATAATAAAGCAAGTCTTGCTATATCTAACTTAACTAGATATATCTTAGTCCTAATAAGAAATAAAAGAGCACGCTTAAAAGCCTAAAGCTAGAGGGCAAGTAGTAGAGCAGTATTAGAAAGAAGTTTACTAGCCCCTTTTCTATCTTCTCTACTACTAGGCTCTTCTCCTCTACTAATAGCAACCTAAAGGTATGCTTTATAAAATATATTTATAATATATTCCTAACTTATTATTAGTCTATAACTATAAACTTTATAATAAAAGGCTCTTCTTAGTAATTAGGCTCTAAAGGAGAGAAAAGAAAAGCTAGAGGTAGATAAGGAAGAACTTGTATAGAAAAAGGCACTATTTAAATTACAAAAGGTATAGTTTAAACTTAAGAAAGAGATAGCTACTTTTTATATAAGGTAGGGTTAGTCTATAAATATAGTAACTAGTTCCTAACTAGTTCTTAATATATTCTAGTCTATTATATAAGTATATATAAGTAGATAAATATATATTCTTTCTTCTTCTCTTTCTTCTTCTTTCTTCTTATACTCTATAAGAACTTTTTATATTTAAGAGTTTAATACTATTTTACTATCTATCTTTCCTAATATTATTAGATATAACTAGTTAATATAGTCTATAAAGATCTTTTAAAGTTAGTATATAATAGAATATATTAAGAACATGTTATAAACTTATTCTAATACTAAGTAGGATTTATACTAGCAATATATTAAGCTTAAGTTACTTCTATCTAATACTAGGGTATTCTCTCCTATAATATCCTACCTAAATAATAGGTGTATAGTATTTCCTAGCAAGCTTTTCTACTAGGCTATTTAGGCTAGATTAGGGGTATAGGAACTTTATAGAGTATATATATATATAAGTTAGAACACGTTTATAATATATTAATAACTATTTTAGCGTTACTTCTCTAATAGAGGTAATCTTATCTACTACCTTAAGAGGTATTATCCTAAGGTTTAAATAGCCCTAGTAAACTATAGCAGAACTACAATATAAGGTATTACAGAAGCAAGGATCTTCTATAGGAGCTTAATAGTAAATACTTAAGAATATGTTCTAAACATATTAATAATATATTCTTTACTAGTAGAGTAGACTATACTAAGTGCCTCCTTTAAGGTTTAAGAACCCTCTAAGATAGCTAGTCTATAATAAGAAGTGGTAGCTAGAGTAGAGGCTAAATAGGAAGTAGAGAGTAAAGAAGAGGAGCAAATAGTTGCTCCCCTTTATACTATAAATAATATTTAGTAAAAGTAGTAAAAAGGAGATATAAGTCTAGTCTCTTAAAACACGTTTAGAATATATTAATAATACGTTATAGCTAGATACCTATAAATACTAGATTCTTCTTTAATCTAAGGGACTACTAGAGCTTTATAATACCTATAAAAGTAAAAAGAAAAAGTTATATACTATTAAAGGACCCTATAAAAGTAAATAGTACTTTACTTTTAGTAGATAGAAAAAAAAAGAGAAGGTAGAGAGTTTATTTTAGTAATTACTACTACCCCTTTAGGTTATATACTATTATATATTATTTATTAGAACCTATTCTTAATATATTCTTAACGTGTTCCTACTTATTACTATTATTATCTCCCTCCCCCTCTCTAGTATCTTCTCTATCCTCCCTATCCTCCCTAGGCTCTACAAAAGTATACTGCAAGTGGAACTAGGTAGTATTCTAGCAGGAATTAGTAAGGTCTACACTAGTATTAAAGTAATAGTCTTAAAATATATTAGGAATAGGTTAATAATATATTATAAATAACTTACTATAGCTAGGATAATTATAAGCGCAGATAGTATAAGGAACCTGAATAACCTTAAATCCTTAGTAGGGTAGATATAGTAACAAAGTTAAGCTATAATAAGTTAGTAATATATTTTTAATAGGTTCTTATAGGCTATACCTTATTACTATTATAGCTAGTGCAAGTCTTCTTCTAAATTATATTTAGGAGGGTATTAGTATTTATAGGGGGGCCTATAGTAGCTACTAGCTAGGGCTTAGAGAACTTCTATAAAATATATTAGTAATAAGTTTTAAATATATTCTAAATAACTTATAGTAAGGAGTATTCTAGTAATTATATATAACCTTTATATAGAAGTCTATATATATTAGTATAATAAGTTAAGAATAGGTTAATAATATATTTACTCTTTACCTTATAGACCTCTATTATAGAGGGCTAGCTAGTCTTCTTAACCCTACTAACCTTATAGTAGGCTATATTAAGCCTATAATCTTTTTTAGTATAGGTATATAGAGTGCCCTTAGTACCTAGAATAGCCTAAGAATATTAGAACCTATTTAGAATATATTTAGAACCTGTTCTTACTTTATATAAGGTGCCCTTATTATTAATCTTAGTATAGTAGTAGCGCTCTCTACTCTTTATCTTAACTACCCTATTAGGGCTAACTATAGGCTATACCCTAATATTATCTAGGATATAGCTAAGGGTAAGGTACTATTAATAGTGCTTCTATAACCTATTAAGAATATATTCTAAATATATTTTAATCTACTTATATAGGATATAAGGGATATATTAGTAATAGGTATAGTAGTAGTAGCTTATAGTATTACTAGTATAGAATATATTTAGAATAGGTTTAGAACACGTTATAAAATCTTATAGTATAATATTTAGTTAACCTCGCTTAGCTAGCTAGTAGAGCTTGGCACGGCCCTTGCTTC